AGTGGGGAAGCACTGAGGGGGCACAGAGGGGGAAGAGCGAGGGAAGAGAAGGGCAGTGAGAGGGATCGAGGGACAGACACACACCAGTGTGGGTCCTGCTGTAGAAAGGACCCGTGCGGGACGGCACCCACAACGGAGCACAGAGCTGGGATTCCCTGCTCCTCGCTCGGGGTGCGTGCTGGGCTGGCCGTCTGGGTTTGGGGACAAGTACAGATACAGCGGAGGAGCGGTAAGACAGGCAGTTACGGAATGGCTGAGGGAGAAGAAAGAAACGGGAATGGGGACCAGAAGTAAAGAAAGAAGAGATATGGGAAGTGGGATGACAAACAGCAAATGCCATGGAGCAATTAGGACAAAAACAGAATCCACAAGATGGGACAGTTAAGAGGTCACTGGTGACCTGAACAGAAAGAGATAATTTTTGGGGTTTGAAATTCATTTTCAGATGACTGAGTTCCAGTAGAGGAAATGGTTTCAGCTCCTCCTAGACAGCACACCGAGGTCAGGAGTCAACAGAAGGAACAAGAACGACGACCAGAGTCAGCATCCCGGTGACCCCAGGTGAGGATTTCACATTTCCTGCAGAGGCACCAGGTATGTCTGTTTATGCACAGAAGAGCATCTGAAGACCTGGATACTCTGAAGGGGGAACTGGGAGTAAAACTGGCGGTCACAAGGAACTGTAGCCTGATCTCTAATTTTAGTATTCTTTATAAGGAGAATTTATTCATGTCTATACCTATATAATTAATTAAAATTAATTTTAAAATAAAATCTACAAATAAGGAGATAATATATTCACTGGTCTCAGAACTGACTGTGTGCAGGTGCACTATGAAGTATCCTCAGCCAGGCTAGAGGCCTTTTGTGTTAGTACAAAGTAGACCCTTATTATAGCTTACTGTTTTTAATTATAACATTTTAAGGATTACATCTTAAGCCTCCTTCTAGCCAAATTATTCTAACTAGAATTATTTTCACATAAAAATATTTTATTAACAAACTAAAATTTAAAATATTTAAATGTATGTCAGCAGACGGCTATATTATTTAGGTAAGGTAATGTGTGGCCAACATGACATTTTCTCAGACAGGACTATGTTCCCTGAAATAAGAGTGGCACCAGAAGAATATAACAAGTAGATACTGGGAATAAAGAGCATTTAAGGATTAAGCATTTGTTAGTCTCTTAACTTTTAGACATCTGACACACAATAACTTTCTCTTTATTATTAAAAATCATAACTAGATATACAAATTTATTGTTCAGATATAAGAACAATACTAATCAACAAAAAATCAATTAATGCCACTCTCTCTCTGCAATATAACTGAACATAAGTCATAGAGAATTTGTCAAGAAGGTGTTCAAAGTTATTTTTAATCAAAGTCATAGTTAGGAATAGATATTATGATTTATACTTCCTATTTTGCATTTGTCATTTCTAAGCATCATTCACTTTTGTTTACACTGAGAATTGAAGAGATTTGGCCCAGGGTAAAGATTAATAGTACATTTATGAAACCCGAAATCAAGACCTCTCCAAGATGGACCAGTTTTTAAACAGGCTCCCTTCATCAAGGAATAAAAGAGCAATCCACTTTATCTCCTGCAAGATGAGGGACTAGATGGGACCCAGAGAAATACACGGAAATACTAAAATATAAATTCAAGGTGATTCAAAGTGGTAAATGTTCTTGTTTTAGTATCGTAAGTATATTTCCTTTTAAAACTCTGCATCTGGGGGCGCCTGGGTGGCTCAGTTGGTTAAGCGACTGCCTTCGGCTCAGGTCATGATCCTGGAGTCCCGGGATCGAGTCCCGGGATCGAGTCCCACATCGGGCTCCCTGCTCGGCAGGGAGTCTGCTTCTCCCTCTGACTCTCTTCCCTCTCGTGCTCTCTCTCATTCTCTCTCTCTCAAATGAATAAATAAAATCTTTAAAAAAATAAAAATAAAAAAAATAAAACTCTGCATCTGGGCCTGTAATAATTTACAAGTTACAGAAAGAGCTTCAGGATAGCCGAATAACTATAAAGAAAATTTTAAAAAAGAAATTAGTAACAGTATTGCAAAGTCTGTTGGTTACATTTGAGAAAAATTTTCCCTGTTAAAGGAGATTGCAAGTAACAATGTGAAAAAAGGTCCATCTCTCAGTAGTTTCTTGATTAAGCATAATAAAGAGCATGTCAGCAATATTACAAAATCTGTTCTTACAGAATTCATTGCTGCTTTTAAAATATTTTATTGCAGAAAAGTTTGGGCATCTACAGAGAGTTCCTTAGGCTTGGTTCTGTTCTATTTTCACCTTGTTTGCCAGCCACCTCCTCTAGTCAGGGTCAAAGCAAACAGTAAACTGTTTACTGCACATAACAGACATCAAGTCCCCCAAAATGCTGGATTCTTCAAAACTAACGTCTAAACAGGCAGCAAAGCAATGTTTTGGAAATCATATGCACTGACATGGCATTACTTTTTTAAAGGGCTTTAAAGAGTGTGAATAAGAACTGTTAAGCTCAGATTCTTTGTGTTTCCTATAGACAACAAAACCATCATTTATATTAATTATATTTAGCCAAAAATACATGGCCAAAATCATCCTCACAACTTAATTCTTAGTTGTCAAGTGATATGCTTATAAAATCTACTCTGTGGCAATTTTTCAATTAGAACAAATTTTTCCATATTCAAATATAAGAAGCTGATCAAAGGAATTCTTTAATGAATGTGTCCTATCACACCAGGCACTGAAGTCTAAAGCTAGAGTTTAATGATGCCTCCATTGAACCAGTAACACCAGCTAGCAAATTAAAAAGCCAAAAACCATAAAATTCATATGACACTTTCATTTTTGAAGCAAAAATATCACCAAATTAATTATTTTATGCAGGACTCAACGTATTTTCAATTTTACAATTAAAGTAAAAACTATCACTGATAAATTGCTGAAATAAGAGAAAAGCTGCTCATATACAGGTAATGTTGGATTTTTCCTTGCTATTTCATTTCTTATTTCACTGTAAGTGATGGGGTGCTGCTCATGGGATTCCCAGGGGCAGATGAGAGCATCCTAAGGGTCAGGCTTTCCTTGGGAGAGGCAAAGAGAAAGAGTGAAAACTTTCACAGCTTGGAATGTGGTTGTGAAACACATCCTCTATTCTAGGCTTATGAGCTTTTCAGCTGGTAAATCAAAACCCTGTTATACACCAGGATAACATTCATGACAATTCTCCACATTTTATCTTCTTAAAAATCAAAGGCTCAGTCCTAAAGGGTTAATAGAGGAATTACAAAGTAACTCTCTAGTTTGCATTTCCCATAATACTAAAATAAAGCTGCTTCTTTTAGTCCAGAAATTTGCTTTTTTAATACTGTGAAAAGCCTCCATGAATCTGTTTAACGTATTTACTTCTTTTCATCTATTCAGTGCCACTGGGCATAACCTGTAATGCAGTGCGTGTTGATATTTTGCAAAGCACCACATGACTCACTGTACCCTAATGCGCTCCATTAATCCTGTTTGGACAGCTGGGTCCAGGCGTTTGTTAGCTGCATTCTAATTGTCCCATCTTTCTTTTTCTTCTTTTTAGTTATCTCTATGGCAAACTACTCAGGAATTTAATTTGTTGATCTTCAAAAAGCAAATTTTGTCATTAATTTGTTTTCTTTGTATTAAAAGTATACCTACCATGCAATTTTCTTCCATAAAATCAGTATATATCACTATTAACAATAAATCTTAAATAACAGATCACAGTAAGTTTTATAAATGACTAAATGGTAGGGTGGCTATAATATCACAGAAATTATTGTTGGACTGTCATAAAACAAATGATATCACTTAGTTACAAATGAAGTTACTGAAGTGCATACTTTTGGCATTTTCAAGATTAGCGCACCATAAGCAGATGTCAAAACAATAACAAGTCCTATAAAGCAAACACAAAAGAGGTAAGACCACTAAGTAAATAAGCTTTGTATTAGTCTGTGGAACAGTGGTCTCTTTACATTTATACTTAGATTTCACTTCTTACTAAAACATGAAATTCTCGGTAAGCATTGCGCAGATAACTATAAAGCTTCTATTTCCCTCTTGCAGCCTGCCTCCCTGCTGGCCAGGAGTCTTGAATCAACAACGGAGCAAAAGAAGAGGTAAACAAAAGCTACTCAAAGCGACTAGTAATTTTTGTTATGAGCAAGTTGCGAAGGTTGAATGATGGGATTCTTCTAATCATTTGTGAACACTCTTAAGTGGAAACCTAGGTCCAGAAAACCAAACAGAACTGCCTAACGGAAACTTTTGTCTGAAATAATATTTAGCCAAGAAGTGAGATCACAGCCTGCAACATGCTTTATAAAAGATAAGAAGGCCAAGTGAAGATTTGTTCAACTATTTCAATGACAACGTAGAAATGTACTAGTTTTAAAAGATGATCAACGTTCCTGTAAATTGAAAAATTAAGAAAACTATATAAATGACAGGCAAGAAAAAAATTCAACAACCAAAGGATGCCCTTGAAATCTGCACATGCTCGCATGTTTTCAAGTCTATTTCATGGACATGAAGCAGTTTAAAAAAGTTTTATACATTTTCAATTTTTTACACCACATCCTAAATTATAAGTTTTAAAACACATTTCATATAAGAAAAATTAGTTTAATACTTTCTAGACATTAAACATTTTTTTTAATATCACAGTTTTCTCACCAGAGAACTCAAAAGCTTAACTAGTCAGTGGAAAAAACTGTCCACACTGTTTGGAGGGACATTTTTAAGTATTTAAAAAAATAAATGGACCTTATTTGATACAAGTACTTGTTTTGGTATGGTTCTCTACATAAACGAAGTATAGAAGTTATAAAATAATGTGAAACGAAATACTGTATTTCAAAGGATGATCTTTTTGAAAAAGTGCAAAAACTAAAAGTTAAGGCAGAAGTTTAAGAAAGATACGTTCACAAGGTATGGACTTTAAATGGACATTTCTCCTGTAAACTTACCCAGTGTCCTTGACATCACAGGGAGTGCAGAGCTCAAGACCAAGATGGACACACAATTCCCAATGATCTGTGTGGGGTCACAAAGAATATTGGGCAGTCAGACATTAGAATGACAAATGCAATCAACCTACTCACATTCTGGGAACTTACTGCACATTTTACTTACCTTGTACTATTGTGCTGTACTTTGCTAACTTCTTAATGATATTACTCAGTACAGAATTTAAAGAGACTAAGAAACGTTTTCTACAAATATTTAAAGTTACATCTGTAAAGTTCTAGAAGGTATTTACAGTAGCTGGCACAAACATAAAGTTATAGGACATTTAAATTACACCTCAGACAATGCACTTTACATTATTGATTTAGGTTGCCAATTTTAAAAAGGTTTGCCTGTCAAGTAAAATAGAATGAATACATTTAATACTTCTGACTATATTTTTAAAGCCAGACTACTGCTCAAGATATATAATATCTACTTCTAATACGTTCAACTATTATAAGATTTAATTCCAAAAACCTAGAAATCTAAAACCCCTAAATTCTAATAATTCATTTCCAATGTGTCCTACGCTTATTCTTTCATATTAAATAAAAGGAGCTGAAAATACTGATTAATGCTGATGATCACTTAAACTAGATGCTAAGTATCTCAACAAGTCATAGCATTCTATAGATAGGTAAATAAAGTACATAAAATAACTTTTCCTTTTTAAGATAGGTTGAAAATATATGATATGTAATAAAAAGAAAAGAAACCAGCAGCTCTTATTACTTATTCTTCATGGTCAGCCTGTGGGAATATTTTAACACTATATAAGGTAACAGTCTTTGTTATTCCAAAGCCAATGACACATTGTAGGAAGTCAAATTAGCCTCCGACTACAAAATGTTTCTGAATAGAACTCTTCCGTCTTGCTTTAATTATTCAAATTTGAAATACTTTGTCTCTACTACTTGTAGCAACTAAGTTCTTCCAGATTTCAAACAAGCTCCCTGAAGTACAGTTTGCACAATCAAAGTTACTCATTAGCAATACGTTTTCTTTAGAGGAGAAAGAGTCCTTTCATTAGCCTTCTGTAGCTGGTTAACAAGCCCTGCAGTTGTATGCATTTACAAGTGAATGGATGCCATCCAAATTAAACAGAGCAGCACATCCTTTTCCCACTCATTCAGCATTTTGAAAATCTTTCAGTTTGTGTTTATGCAATTTACAAACAAATACCTATCACCGCAAATGAACCATTCAGGGCGATTACAAAATAAAACAGCTCCTTTGCCTTGGAACGCAAAAGGGAAGCACAGCCACTAAGACTTCACCTTACCTTTGTCATAGTTGTGTCATCCTTCTTGGGAATAAAATTTCCAAAAAATCGGAGGCTATAGAAACCGACAACAGAGGACACCATAAGATAGCTGTGAGAATCAAGGAAAAAACTCTCCCAAGAATGCAAGTTTCCTTAAGTTCTCAGTAGTCTCCAGAAACTCTTAAGGTCCAAAAGGAAAAACAAAAAGCCACTTGGTGTGCTTGAGGAAGACTGATTTGTTTTCCCTTCTAGGAAAGTGTCTTAGTAAATTACCACTGTTCCAGAAAACTAAACAGAAAATTTGTTAAACAATGTTTAAAGAAAGGATACAAAATCAAAATGATTTCAAGTGCAGCTCCCACAAAACCAAAAGCAGAAAGAGAAGCATTTCCTATTCCAGGACCCTGGGAGGGGGGAAAAATCGCTTTTCAGAATTGAAGGACACTATATATTTGCTTTCCCTAAAACTGTTTCATAAATACAGGAATTAGGAATGCTTAATACCCTAGAATAACATCTAGATTTTCTAAGGACAATAAAACATGACATTAGATTGCATTCATCAACTAATGCAAGCACATGTTAATAATTTTAACAAGCTCAAAACATCTCCGATTTATCTCAAATGTAATTTACTTATCAAAATGATATTATACTTATTGTTCAAAGTCCTGAATATTATTGGAAGAAAAATTTTTTAAAACAGTACCACAGGAATAGAATATATAATTATTTAAATAAACCCTACAACAACATATAAAAATTATACAATTAAAATATATCAAAGTAGGCTAAGCATAGAAAGAAAGTGAATGTGCATATCCTATTTCTACAGTTGAAAGTTGTTTCCCCAAATCTTCCTTGGGAATTCAGACGTTTTTAAAAGATATAACTTAATTAACACAGATTTTTTTTAAGGTAACACTACACATTTTTCCAAAACATTATACCTATTGTCAAAACCTATCTTTATCTAGAATGTAAGAAAACAAGCGGAAAAACCAGTATTTATTAATGAGACCGAACAGGCAAAAAAATAATTTCTTACTAAAGTAGGAAGAATATTTTCAAAGTTTACCAGTTAAAGGAAGTATTCAAATATGAACTACTGTTCTACTATCAGCTTTAATTGTATCAAACAAAAATACCAGGAAAATTAAGAATGTATAGTCAGGTTAGTAAAAAATAAACCAATAATATCATACACATCATATATACATTCTAATTTTGGCATAAAGAAGTAAGAATACTCATGGAAATTTCATATATATAAACAAGTCAAAGAACTATCAACTTTTTGTCAGTCTTTTGACAAAGAAATGAATAACGCTAATAGACAGCTTATTGGCTGGGTGAAAAACATTTTGGAAATATTCCCTATCTCAAGAGAAGTCCTCCAGGCAGAATTAAGATGATCTGATTTATTTACACAATCATGCATAGGCCCTACCAGGTATAAGTTCCTCTCTATGATACACTAAGGGGATGGTACAAAAATGTACTATGGGGGCTTGGGACTTACATAGTGTGCCAACGTATAAAAGAGGGTTACAAAGCGAATAGAAGCCAACACAGTAGATAACTTCCTGCTCTATCAATGAACTTGGGTCTACACAAAAGATTAAGACCAGGCTGCAGATGAAGTACTGTTTAGTGTCATTGTTTGCTTGTGGAGTGAAGCACCTGGAAAGCATGTTGGCAGGCTAGACAACGGGCAGTAACAGAAGGCAGAATGTCCAGCAAAAGTTAGAGGAGGGCAGAATCTAACTGGAGAATATGGCTGAAAAAAAATTAGCTTTGAAAGAACAGGGTATCTCTGGCTTGGACTGAAGGGAAGAAATTCAGGTTGATGTTGGCTTATTTCTATGAGAGGAAAGGTATACATCCTCTGGTTCACAGAGACAAGCGGCACTAAAAGTCTGCAAGAGTTTTGAAGTCCTTTCCTATGGGGAATGAAAATGCTACTGACTTAGAAAAATATAAGAAAATGTTAGGATGTAAATGCTACTTTAAGCAATCAAAAGTTTACAGAGACTCCTAGAAGTATGCCAAAAATGAATCTTTAGTGATAACTACCTTCTCTATGGAGAATATATTTAAATAGGCTAAAAGATAGAGCTTAATAGAATCATCACCTTTTAAACAAGAGAGAAAACAAATTCATGAAAAGATGTACATCTGACACTCCTCCAGTAACTAAACATTTGACTCAGATTCATAAAATGTGTGACTCTTCTGAAACAGAAGTCCCTACCAACCACAGATCAGCATCTTTTGCAAACACTATGAATCCATCTAATAAACTCCTTCCACATCACTATTTCACCGAGTATACATTTTCTTAAAGAATTACAAATATGAACTTTAGTAAAACTAAAATCAACTGTGATACAAAATCTAAAAGGAAACTCTGATATTTGGTAAAAGGGCTAGCCAACCAAAAGTAAGAAATTAGAAACAAAAGTCATAGTTCACAAACACTGTTTACAAAGGCTCTTTACATAAAGAAATTCATACAACCTGAAACATAGGTGCAGAAAGGTGATGTTTTAAATTACTTATTTGAAACACTCTGGGTATATACACAGAACACTTTTGCAAAAGAAAGACATTTAAAGCACTTTACCCTTGTTCCCTTTGGCATGGCTGTTTCATCAACCAACAGGCAAAGAATATTACAAGCCACCAAGAGGACCGAGATGGACTACAACACAAAAAATGATTATCAGTTCTGAATTTCACAGATATTTTGTGAGTACACATGTATTAAAATCTAAGTTATCAATCAAATATACACTTCAGAACAGAGGAGAAGACCAAAATTCTACACACAAACAAACCGAAAGTAATTAAACTATCTGCAAAAACTTCAGAATAAACTCTAAAAACTCTGCAAATTATTACAATTTCAAAGCTTGTGACTAAAGCTAATAATATAGATCCAGTTACTGACTGATTCCCAATTGGAAACCCACAACTCCACAGATTTAAAAAATGGTTACAATGTTATTAGAACTAATTTAATAATATAATTTTCACATCTCATCATAGTCTGAAGCAAGATATCTGCAATACCTTGTCTCTTAATTCTAAATGGCACAAAAGAGTAAATGTCCTGCTTTCATGAGGAAATAATCTTAAGAACTTTTTAAAAATTGCCATTAATTTCTATTTTTGTTCTATTGAGTTTTTCCAAATAAAAGTATAGATGGATTTTAATCCTGTTGATAGAAAACCAGTTTACTTGAAACCATTTAGCTGAGGGAGTTGCCATACTCAAATATCAAAAGTAAATAAAAAATAATTTGCTTTATTTAACTAGGCAAATAAATTCTTACTGTCTCAATAAGAAGGAGAACCATAACAGCAGGATACACCAAATTTCTTTCCCATGCTGAAGCTTTTTTTCGCCTCTCTATTAAGAAAAAAAACAAAATACAACAGAAGATTTCCAAAAATTCTCTCCAGACCCATATTTTCATTCCTTACTGCTATAACCAGTATGTATTATTTTTATAAAATTTTTTCACAAACATAAATTATTTTTAATTTTCCTCCAAAAACTATAAAAATCAGAGTTTTAAAATCACTTTGCTACATTAAATAGCTCAATCCTATGATGCTTACATTTTAGCTCTGTAAAGACATCTCAGTTGCTAACGAAATGTACTGTTAATACACGGTTTACTATGAAAATATAGAAATATTTGTATTTGATGTAGATTTACATATTGATACAGATTTGAGTGAATAAAGTTAACATGAGTAAAAAATCCCCTTTAATCCAAAGATAAATACCTCCAGTTTTCTAAAAGTGGAAGCAAACTTCTGGCTACAGTGATCTACCTGATTCACACACCAATCCTCATGCTATGAACAACTGGTAAAAACAAATCAAACTTAACTAAGAAAAAAAGATACATGAAGGAATCACAGAGCTACCACAACAAAACTGTGAGGTCAATACTCTGTGAAATGGATTGATGTGAGCCCTCACATTTGCACTATCTTTCCCTCAGAGTTTTCCAACAAAAAAATGACATGGCCCCACAAAGCTGAGAAATCAAGCAAATATCAGTGGGTGAAAGAAAATGATGCTAAAGCAATGCTTTCAGCAAACTCAACAGCATCAGGAAAACAAAAACTGGAGTGTGGGGCTACCAAGGCAGCCAAAATTTGAGAGGCTATGATCACAGAGAAAAGGAAAGAAAAAAGAAGGGAGCCTAACATTCAGCCTTTTGCCCTGCAAGGCACCAATGGCCAGCAGGCTGAGAAAGTGACGAGAAGGTGCAGCAAAAGAGAAGGGGCAAAGCTTCTGTCAGGCTCACACTTCCTGAGATAAAAACTAAAGTTCAGGGTACATAAGGAAGATGGTATCATAGTCAACAACAAAACACCCAGGCTTTCACTTAGGAAAGCTATACACTAGAAGCAAGGCCAAACTGCAAATCGACCGGCTCTCATGAAGACCAAAACCCACTCTGGAACTATCACCAGCCCAGACAGATGAGAGGATTTGCCCCTACTCTAAATGCCTACCAGAAGAAAAAGTAAATCCTCTCAAGAAGAAAACATTATCCAGAGTTTTTATTTTGTATAAGAAATGCCTGACACTCAATCAAATGTTCCCTGGAGATAGGACAAAGAAAAAAGATAATAGAAACAGACTCAGTTTATCCAGATATTGAACTTATCAGAAAGAGGTCTTAAAATAACTGATTAATATGTTCAATAAGGTAAGTGACAAGATGGCAAATGTCATAATTTGAATCTGAATGAAAATTCTAGAACTAAAAAATACTGTAACTAAAATTAAGATTTCAAGAGATAATTTAGCAATAGTTATGACACAGCTGAAAAGACACTGAAATGGAAGACACATCAATAGAAAATATCACAGATCAAAGAATGTGATAAAGGAGGGGAAACTCAGAAAACAATACAGGAGTGAAAAGTCTAGCACATGTGCAGCTAAGGTCCAAGGAACTAAAAGAAAAGGAGCAGAAGCAGCATTTGATGAGACGATGGCGAGCAAGTCCCCAAATGGGTAAAAGACATTAGGCCACACACTGACGAAGCGCCACAGATCTCAGAAGAATAAACACAAAGAAAACCAAACCTGAGCACATCAGGGTAGAACTACTAAACAAAGACAAAAAGAAAATCTTAAAAGCTTTCAAAAGGGCAACAATACAACTTTTAATGAGAAACCAGAAGACACTAGAAAGACATTTTTTTCAATGTTGAAAACTACCAAATAATAATTCTAATTCTGTAAAACTGCACTACCAATGAGAAGGCAAGTAAAAATGTTTTCAGGTAACAAAAACTAGAGAATCCGTTGCCAACAAACCATCACTAATGAAACGCTAGCAGATGTTTTTCAAGCAGAAGCTAAATGAACACTGGAAACACAAATCAGGGACGTATAAATTAAAACACCCGTGAAAACCACTTCACAACCACTAAACTGGTAAAAATGTAGAGTCCAACAATGTCAATTGTTGACAAAGATGCTGAGCAACAGGAAGTCTTACTCATGCCTAAAACAAATGCAAAACAATACAACTACCTGGGAAAACAATTTGGCATTATTTTAGAAAGCTATATATTCACATACTCAACGATCCTATAATTCCACTTCCAGGTATGTACCATGAAAAAACATGTGTACCAAGAGGTATGAAGAACAATGTTTATACCAATATTATTCATAATAACAAAAGAGAAACACATCAAATATCCACCAACAGCAGAATGAATAAAGTAACTTCAGACAGTATGATGTTGTTTACAAAAATGAAAATGAGAGGAACCTACAGAATGGGAGAAGGCATTTGCAAATGATATATCCACTAAAGGGTTAATATCCAAAGTATATGAAGAACTTACACAACCCAGCACCAAATTAAAAAATGAAAAGAAGACTTGACTTCTTTTCCAAAGAAGACATCCAGATGTCCAACAAACACATGAAAAGATGCTCAACATCACTATTCATCAGGGAAATGCAAATAAAAACCACAATAACACAAGAAAAAACAAGTGTTGGCAAAGATGTAGAGAAAAAGGACCCCTCGTACACTATTGGTGGGAATACAAACTGGTGCAGCCACCATGGAAAACACTATGGAGGTTCCTCAAAAAATTAAAAATAGAATTACCAAACAATCCAGTAATTCCAATACTGGGTACCCAAAGAAAACAAAAACACTAATTCAAAAAGACATATGCACCCCAATGTTTATTGCAGCACTAATTTACAATAGCCAAAACATGGAAATAACCCAAGTGTTCATCCACAGATGAATGGATAAAGATGTGATATGTATACATTCACACACACACACACACACACACACACACATGAATATTACTCAGCCATGAAAAAGAATGGAATCTTGCCATTTGCAACAACATGGATAGAGCTAGAGTGTACTATTCTAAGTGAAGTAAGTTAGTCAGAGAAAGACAAATACCTTATGATTTCACTGACATGTGGGATTTAAGAAACAAAACAAAACAAAGTAAAAAAAGACAAACAAAAAAACCACTCTTAAATACAGAGAACAAACTGGTGATTGGCAGAGGAAGTGGGTGGAGGATGGGTAAAATACCATGATGAGCCCGGAATAATATATGGAATTGCTAAATCACTATATAACTATCACTAAATAACAATGCATGGTAATTACACTTCAATAAAAAAAGAAAAATGAAAATGAATAAATTTTCAACAATAAAACAATGAACTTCATTTCTGAAAACAGAATAATAATAGGGACCAATTTTCCATCCAGGCTGAAACAATTAGGAAACAAAAAAATACATGCATATGAAACAGTTTCAAGACTCTGGATGTGTGGTCACAAAAAGCCAAAGATCTCTGAGAGATGGGAAGCAAACAAGGCAAACCCTGGGTTCGCTCCTGCTTACTGTCTCGTGACAGTTTGCCGGCCACAGTAGAGGGCACAGGAACCCAAACAAAGCCCAACTCATTCCTTGAGTTGAGGACATATAATGGGAGTGTGGAGAGACCAAGTTAGCTGGACTATACAGAGCAAAGTACCACAGACAAAAGTCCTCAGAGAAAGAACTCCACGGATCTTCAAAGGGTCATCCTCGAGTTTTTAGTAGGGTAAAGATCAGCTCAGGTACATGAACAAACAACCCACCCCTGAAGAAAGAACCACCCATGGGGCAGGAGTATCCAACCATTATAAGGGGCCAAGAATAGGGCCTGCTCCCACAAGATAAGAATGAGATCTCGTAAATCACAAGCATTGTTGCCTTAGTGTGGGAAAAACTGGCCCTAGAGACATGCTGCTCTAGCCCTGCCTGACAAGCCTTCAGAGCAAAACCCAAGAATATCAAACTGCTTCCAAGTAACTTAACTGCATCCCACAACAAAGTTCCACACTTACAGCAATACAAAAATATCAGCACCCAGCAGTAAGATTCTCAGTGTCCACTATCCAATCAAAAATTGCTAGGCATGCATAAAAGCACAAAAATATACCCAATGATGAGGAGGAAAGTTAATCAATCAAAATCTATCAAGAACACATAAGTTATAAAAACATTATAAGTGTTCTTATAATGTATTCCATATTTTTTTTAAAAGTGGAGGACACAGACTAAACAGGTCTAAACAGAACTTTTTAAACATAAAAACTGCAATGTCTGAGGATGCCTGGGTTACGTCAGTTGAGCATCAGACTCATCTCAGCTCAGGTCTTGATCTCAAGGTCGTGGGTTCCAGGCCCTACACTGGGCTCCACACTGGGCGTGGAGCCTATTTAAAAACAATAATAAAAAAAACTGCAGTGTTTGAGAAGAACACAATAGATGGGATTAAACACAGATTAGATACTCAAAAGAAAAGAGTAGTGAACATGAAGATACAGTAAGAAGAACTATCCAAAATGAAACACACAGAGAAAAACATCTGAAAAATAAAGGAATATCCGTGAGTTTTGGGGACAACTTCCAGTGGGCCAGTGTACATGTAACTGGAGTCCCTGAAAGGGGGACACAGAGAGGAAAAGAAAAAAACATTTGGAAAAACAATGGCCAAAAATGTTCCAAATTAGATGAAAACTATAAATTCCCAGATCGAAGAGACTCAATGAACCCAGTGAATAAGAAACATAAAGAAAACTACTCTAAAGCACATCTGAATCAAACTGTTCAAAGTCAGTGACAAAGAGGACATCTTAAAAGCAGAGAGAGAAAAAAGACAATTCAAAGGATGAGGAGGACAGATTACTCGTCAGAAATCATGCAAGTGAAGAGACAATAGAGTGACATCTCTGAACGTCAGCATCTGAAAAGTCATTTTATGCACGTACAAAACAAAACAAAACAAAAAAAAATGGGAGTATATACATGTTTATCTTCTCCCCAAACTAAAAAACAGTCTGTATCGATACCTTTGGACAGACTGGAAGCTTGTAACATACCCTAAAGATTTCATAACTTTTTTTAATATTTCAGACTACCAACAAGTCTTTGGAAAGAATCCAAGACCAGTACATGAGTCAAGAACAAAAATGTACAGTACCTAATTTTGTCTTTAGAGTCTTCACGTTTTCAAGTTCTTGTTCCAACTCCATTATATTGTATTCCACTGATGAAGACAGTCCTGTCAAAAGCAAAAATAGTTTAGAAGTATCACAACAGAACCTTATTAACAGCACAGAATGGGTAGCCCTCACCTTAATTAAAATATAAGATAACACACTACAAATCCTGATCACAGAGAATAAAAACAAATGCTGCTGTGATTCACAGGAAAACATACCTATCCATTTCTCCACCACTTAAGACTTCCAGGTTGTTGCTGATTAAATACTACGTGTTTCCTAGAAAATGCCTTACTCTGATAAAATTTTTACTTGATCTGTTGTTTTCATTAATGACAAAAGTATCTTATGATTATAGAAAGTGAAAGAAATTAACAATCTCCTTCTCCATCCCACCCCCGAAAGTGACAATTGGTAACAGCCTGATTGATGCTTCCACACCTTTCTTCATGATCATGTGAATATTCATATATACATATATACCACACACATGGTTTCTATTATATATTTTATAGAAATGGGTTAAATCGGACATGTTATTTTACCACTTGCTTTCCTAGTCAATGATACATCCATGTTTATAGACAGTGCCAACTCCCTTAACAAATGAATAACATTCCATAGTACGGATGCATTTCAATTTTATTCAGAATTATTCCACTTATGACTAGCCAGGTTTTCCTGTTTTTGGCAACTACACACAATGTTGTAACAAAAATTTCTATATGCATATCCAGTACATTCTAATTCTATTGTTTCTATAGGACAGATTCCCAAAATTCCAATTGCTGAGTCAAAGGATATAAGCATTTACAGTTAAGAGATATTTAAAGGTTACTTCCTTCTAAATATTGTAATTTATTGTAATGATTTAAATATTGTAATAATTTTAAAAGATAAGGGCACCTGGGTGGCTCAGTCAGTTAAGCATCGGACTCTTGATTTTGGCTCCAGTCATGATCTCAGGATCATGAGATTGAGCCCCATGACAAGCTCTGCACTGGGTGTGGAACCTGCTTAAGAGTCTCTCTCTCCCTCTCCCTTTGCCCTTATTTCCACACTTGCATGCACACACGCACACACATACACACACACGCTTTCTCTCTCAAGAAAAGGAAAAAAGAAAAAAGAAATTATTGTAATAATTTACATTTCCATATAGCTTTTGAAAGTACCTATTTTCTTCCTGTATTTTCCCTAGCACTGGATGTTGTAATTCTTGAATTTTGGCCAGTATGATGGATAAAAAACGTTTTCTTATTGTTACTTTAACACGCATTCCCCTAAATGTGGTTGAGCATCTTTTCAGACATTTATTTATCACATGGACTTTCCCTATTCACATTTTCTACTTATTTCTATAATGATGTGTATATCTCCATATTCTATTTTATCCATTAAGTTAAAATCCCCCACTACAAATGTACTTTTTTTATTGATTACGTCTTCTCAGTTTTTAAGAGTTTTTTCATTATATATTTGTATTTGTCTGCTAAGTTTTTCAGGTTCGTATAGGACTGTTACACCCACCTTATGAATCACACCTTTTATCTTTAGATAATGACCCACTTTGTCTTTAATGTTTCTCCGCTTAAATCCTGTTTTGTGGACCTTAAGTTCTACTTTCTTTTTGTTTTTACCTGCCTTACTTACTTACTGATTTATTACAAACTTACATATAAGAGACAAAGAAAGAAAGACTAAAATTAAAGGTGTGTGTGTGTGTGTGTGTGTGTGTGTGTGTGTGTGTGTATCAGCTGAATCTTATTTGAGGTTTAATCTTATCAGATAGAGTTCGTTATAAGCAACTGAAATTGACTGACTGGTTAAAACAGAAAAGGAATTCATGAGACAGAGAGAACCAGCAGGAAAACTTCTAGTTTGCTTGGAAAGGAGAGGAACCAGGAAGCTGGGGGCTCCAGGTGGCAGGAACAGATGGACTGTCTCCTCATAGTATTATACCTGGGATGGATCAGTCCCAACTATTTTCAGTCTTTATGTTGCTATGATCAAGAATAAAATTTTTAGACTTTATGTTGCTAGGATCAAGAATAAATTTCCAGTGTCCTAATGGCCTAGCTCAGAGTCACATGTTAATTCCCTGAGTAGAGGAGGCAGAGAACTTTGACAAGCGGTTCCACAGATGTGATCAAATAGGAGAAACAACAAAGCCCAATCAGATGCTTTCCTAGAATAAAGAGCAATAGGTGCTTATAGCAAAATGGTTGAATAACCCAATCTGACAGGCTCTGTTCTTTAACAATGGAATTCAGCCCATTTACATTTAGTAAAATAAAGTATTTGCATTCAATATAATTTTTATAACAGCTGATAAACTTGATTTTATACCTTCCATACTATTTGTCTTAACTTTTGAAGTGGTTTTCTTTTAATTTTATCTTTCTCAAAATGAAACGTGCACACAATTCCGAGTCCCACATACTTGCACAAGGCACATACATACATGCTGCCTTCCTCCCAGTTCCACCTACCCAAAGACAGCCACTTCAGTTGTTTACCTGATTCTTTCAGTATTTGTCTTCCTAGCACTAAACAAACAGCTTCCCTTGCTGGGTCTTGATTTTCCAGCTCTATGGCCTTTTTCCGCTTACTTACTATGGCCTTCCTATTAAACCACACACCTTGTCATTCCCCTCTCTCCCAATATGGATTATTGGATATTTTGGTTACATTAATATTCGATGTCTGCATCATTACAAAAGAAATGCCATCCATTACTTACCCACAAAATAAACTATGATTAGCCTTCCTTTCTTCCATACAGTATTTTTCCCACCCCTAGAAGTAATCATTTTCCCCATGTGCTTAGTCTTCTATGTACTTATCATTGTCTCAAAGCCACCCTCTCCGCCCAAATGTCTTTTTCTCTCGGTGTTTAAATTCCTGTTATCCCATATCATTGCATTATCTGGGAGCAACTTCTCCTGGAGTCGTGAGACCCTGAGACCTGGACAGGCTGCTCTCTCAGCCTGCTGCACAACGGCATCCCGGGCCCTGTTCTCTCCTCTCCTATGGCACATCTCTTATTTCCAACTTAGCCTTTCTCACTGTTTCACTCCTTTATTTAGGTGGCACATGGCCTCTCCAGCAGCTTGCAAAGAAAAGGTGAATGGGAGGTAGTATTTTTGAGACTACGTAAGTCTGGATATTTTACCTTTGCTCTTATAGTTTGGTTAAATAAGGAAATCTAGGTTAAAACTATCCTTCAGAATTACTGTCATTGTTCCATTGTCTTCCAGCTTCTAATGCTGCTTCTGAGAAGTCTAAAGTTCTTCTTCTTGTCCCCTTGAGTGTGAACTGCTTTCCATCCTGTGAAATGTGTGGGATCTTTGTTCCCAATGTTCTTGCAGTGAGTCCCTTTCCACGTACTATGTGGGGCACTAGTGAGCCCTTCCAATCTCCAAATTCACATCCTTCGGATCTAGGAATCTCTCCTCTCTCCATCTGGAATTCCTATTATTTGGATGTTAGATATCCTGAATTGGTTCTCTAATATTCTAAACTCTTCTCCTATTTTTGTCATTTTGACCTATCTTCTAAAAAAGTTCTCTATCTTCCAGTCTTTTAGATAAGTCATTATTTCTAATTATCAAGAGTCACTTTCTGTTCACTAGATACTCCATTTTTATGAAATCCTGGCCTTTTTCATGACTGTACTCTTGGTCTCTCTCAGGATATTAACAACAGGTTTATTTTTAAATATTTTCTCTGTGTATATTGTCTCCCCCGGTGGTCTTACTTGTTTTGACCTCTCCTTTCATGTGGCTCAGAAGTCTGATGAACCGTAGCTGCCTGCTCACATTTAAGAATAAAGCACTGGGACATCAGTTGATTAGGGCTTCCAACTTTTGGTTTCAGCTCAGGTCATGATCTTAGGGTTGTGACATCAAGCCCCACATGGGGCTCCACACTCAGCGTGAAGTCTGTTTGTCCCTCTGCTCCTCCCCCCGCTCGCATACGCTCTTCTGTCTCTCCCAAATAAATAAAATTCTTGGGGGGAAAAAAAGAACAAAGCATTAAACATGCTAATGTGAAACCCAAGCGTGTGTAGGTGGTGGCTGACAACTTCTTACTGGGTAACCCAGCCAGGCCTTTCATGGAGGACACCCTACTGCTGGCTTCTGTGGGGCTTTCCTCCTGGGTTAGACAGACTCCCCAGATAAGACTCTTCTGATCTCCTTGGGGTATTAAAGCTTGGCTGTCCAAGTGAAGGGAGATGGGAGCCTGTGAGCCCACACCCCATCCTCCACTTCACCAGGCCACAGACTCTGTTTCACTCTCTGGAGAACAACCCTCACTCTTCTCTTGGGGTAGGAAAGAGCCTGGTGCCTTGGATGGAGGGAAAAAATGTAGAGAACAAAATGCTTCATCAACAGGATCTTCAACGAGCCCTCCTTACCTTAAACTTACTCCACTTCATCTCCACCTCCTTATCTGGTGGTGCCACCTCTTGAGACTTTGGGAGATTCCAGGATATAAATCAAGCACAGATGGCTTAGGATTTAGCTTCCTTGGGTCTGCTAAACTGGTTACGTCTAAGGTTTTCTCAGGTCTACTAAATTCCAAAATTTTACTGGGGTTTTCTCAAGTTCTCATTCTCTGAACCTCATTGTTCTCATATGTGAATGAGCTGTATTTATTAGGATGTTTTCCACTCAATCAAAAACCTCAATTCAAAGTAGCTTTTAAAAAAGAAAATAATTTCATGAAATTAGAAGTTTAGACACAGAGTGGGCTTCAAAGTGGATTTTTTCCCACAGCACAACAGTGACATCCAGGGACTGAGTGCTGCCATCCACAAGTTGGCTTGATATGAAGACTGGTGGCTCTTTCTTCTTTAATGTAATTTCATAATTTCTGTTTATTTTGCTCTTTATTTCTTCTTTTCCCAGCTAGTAGAATTTCCATTTATTCTTTTTCCCTATGTTAATTTGGCACTTCAGTGGTTACTTTCTCACTGTTAACAAAAGTAGACTTGTACTTTTTTTTAATATAACATAGTTATAACCCTAGTGATGCCTTACTGAATAACCTTCCT